ACCCTTCAAAACTTTATAAAAGTGAAGTTAAAGCACAAAATAATACTTTCTTGCCATTCTATGTATAACACCTTTTTTTTTTTGGATGCATCTATTTATGTTGGAATACTTGCTGTTTAAGAACATGTGGCAGCTCTCAATCTGCAAGTGACCGGCCTTTTCTCAGAATCGTGGAATAGGAACGGGCAGCCTGATCTTACTTCTACCAGGGAAGTGCCCCTCGGCATACCTGCAGGAATGACCTGGCTGACATTCTTGTCGTGACCCTTTTGAAATCCAGAATCTCTCTATAAATAGTATAACAATTTCCAATCCCTTGTTTCCTCAGATATATCTGTGACTTACTGCCTGAATCAACTATTAGCTCACAGCCATACCCATGTTTTCTAAATCACCGGATTTCAAAAGCTCTGTCCCCTGTGCCAGCAATAACCTCCACTATGTAAATAAATCAATAAACAAGGCACCCTGTTTTAATCTTATTAAAAAATACCAAGGCAATGAATTGCTTGTATTAAATTAAATTCCCTTCGGTCTACTGCTTGAAATATTTCAGAGCCTCCATGGACTGATTTCCTCTCATGAAAAGTGAGAAACTCATGGATTGCAAGAACACCAAGTAATAGAATGTTTAAAAAATGTAAATGTTTGTCCCAAAGTGCTCCTTTCAAACAAGGACAGGCTTAACTGAAAAAAGTTGTCAAAAATCTGTCTTTCCAGGGGCTCTGTGCACATTTTGCAAACAGCTCTGAAAAGCTGAGCCCCGGCCTGGAAGTTTCTGTGCCAGGTAGCTCTGCCGCTTCCCAAATAGGCAGTGTGTGTTGGCCTCCGATAAAAAAAACTGTATAGGAAAGTCTGGGGACCGTTCAAACATACGGAGAGTGGGCTTGAGTGCCATCACCTGAAAGGGAGAAATGTTTTACATTTCTTCCATGAAGCTGATGAACTAAAGCAGAACTTTATTTGGAGAGGAAAATGGCTCCCTGTTTCTCATGCAGTGTTTCCACAGAGATTTTATCCCTCCTCTTCCCCCATCTTCTTGTTCACTTGGGCCTGAAGAAGGGAGAACAGATCTAGTCTCAGGAAGGGAAGGAGTAAGGAGAGGACTCACCTGGGCCAGGCCGGCGAGGAGCAGAGCGGGGGGGAGCAGCGCCTGCATGCTGCCGGGCACAGAGACCCGGGGCCGGCGCGGCCCAGCACACAAAGCTCCCCTGTGTGCACGGCTCCTCCGCAGAACACACACGCCTCCACCTCCCACGCTGCTACTTGCAGGCTGCACTTTCGTTTTTAAGGATCCCTGCTAATACTGTGCTCCCTTTCCTGTGACTTTCCAGTGTTTACCTTCACAGTTAGCGTGTCTGTCGTGCATCAGGAGTCCCTCCTGCGGCTCAGAATGGTAGATCGAGTAGTGCCTTCTCTTTGCATAGCTGTGTACCTGTTTCTGGAGGTCAGAGCCTGCCCCGGGGCTAAGCGGGGGAGTTCCATACCTGTCGGTCCTTGCCCTCAGCCTGTCCAGTCTCTTTTCCCTGCTCAGGGCCTCTCTGGGCGCTTGCTCTTTCCCCTCGGCCCTCAGCAGCCAGTGCTGGCCTGGTCTCTCCCACCGCCCCTGTCGCAGCCTGGCCTGGGG